TCCATGACAAGGGGTCATTATGTGAGATCCTGGACGGTCTCTGCATGATGGGGGGGGGCGGGGTCATCACATCGTTTCATCCATGGAGGGGAGTCCATTTCTGTACATCACCTGACAGCGGGTCACAGTCGGGGATCACGCTATAATATGGGGGGCTTGCCCTCCAACACCCCCCCCAAAAAAACCCCAAAACTCAACTGCCATCGAGTGGACGCCGACCCAGAGCAAGCCTGCAGGACAGGGCCGAGCTGCCACTGCGGGTTTCCGAGGCTGTCAATCCCGAGGCGGGGGAAACAGCCCCTTCTCTCGCCCTCTGGGCAGCTGCTGGCCTCAAACGGCTGACCTCTCGGCTCCCAGCCGACCTAAGTAGCCACTCAGCCACCAGGGCTCCTCGGGGGTGACGTCGCATGTGTGACGTGACGCTGCGGGAAGGTGGTCACACACTCAGCTCACCGTAGCACCCAACGCCCTCGCGTCCCCTTCTGCAAGGCACCTCCATCCGTCGCCGGTCAGTCCGTCAGGCCCGTGAACGAATGCACTGCCCTACGTGATGGACGGTGACATGGTCACATGACCCGCGGGTCCCTGAATCCCCTCCGCAGGTGTACGGTTACCCTCCAGCACCTAAGCCCGGGGACGGGGTGGGGGCACCCATCTGGCGATCTGGGGGCTGCCTCTCGATGGAGCGAGATCTCCCCCGGACGCTGCCCCTCGGGCTCTGCTGCCCACGCGCTCCGAGTCACGGCACCTGTGCTCCCCCCACAGCCGACTCCCCGGGCGTCATCCCCGGCATCGTGGGGGCCGTGGTGGTCGCCCTGGCCGGAGCTGTGTCCAGCTTCATCGCGTACCAGAAGAAGCGGCTCTGCTTCAAAGAACACGGTAGGCCCCCAAGCACCACCGTCGTCCTGCGCCTAGGGGGGCGTCCCTTGCTGCGCCAGTGTCCCTGCACGGGGAGCCTGCTGGTCATGCCACTCCCGTGGCCTCTGATAACGCCTCGTGCCCGGGTCCGAATCCCGGGGCCGCCACGCTGACCACTAGCTGACCACCGCACCGCTTTCCCATCTCACGTGGCTCTGCTCCTCCTCGCTGACCACGCATCCCCGGGCAGGGCAGGGTGACATGCTGGCCCCTCGTCTCCACCGGGACAGGGTGTGCGGACTTGCAACAGGGGGGTCCCAGGCCTTTCTCCCTCGTCTCCCCTCGCCTGGCAGTTCCTCTGAAAGCCGTCCACCACGGTGGACCCTGCTGGTGTCTGACAGCCCAGTGGCACTTTCTGGCTCCGTGGCAGGCCGTGTTCGGTTGGGGGGGTCATGGGGTTTGCACGGGCTGGTTTCAGAGCTTTCCTCCCCGTCTGACGCATTCCGGG